TCCGGAAGGTTAATCGAATTTAATCGATGCGATCCTTTCAACCGCACACAAGATTTTTCGTAGAAGCGGCATATCAGAATTTTGTTCTGTGAGAGCTGCAATTTCTCTCGTTGCGAAATCGCGCGATGTTTCGCAGGCAGGCATGTCGAAAACTAGACAAGACGACGAATCCGCGACTGTATCGAAATTGCGGCAAAACGGGTTTTCAATTACGATCACCTCGTCACGTGCGTGTGTGCGTGTACAATGTACATAATATTGCGGTGATTTGCAAGCCCGCGAGTGGATATCACTACGTACGATCGAGCATATCATTAGCGACCTGCGATCGATTAGCATAAATCAGCACGATTATTAGCGTCTATAGAAATCTTATCGTAATCTGACGGAGCATATACGAGCGTGGGTCAGCCTTGCTTGACACTACAACCGCTTCTAATTTTACTTTGAACACGACGCGCATCTGCCTCTCTATTCGTCGGTGACACGCCGCCGCGTCATGAAAGATCGCGATCCCGAGTTCTCGCGCGACGACGATGAATCCTACGTGGGAAGAGTTGGTTTCCGATATTTCCTTGCCGAACGTCTCGCGACGTTCCAACGACGCATACAAATAGTGCGGAAAAGACTTCAATTGCGTCTCTTGTATCTTGCGTGGGCGTGAACCAGACGATTTTCTACGACGCGTTTCGGCATTCACAGCCGCGACGCATTCATCACCGAGCATCTCAGAGTTTTTAATTAAATCGAGGGAACGGAGCAGAAGGGAGATTTCACGCTCGGATCGTTCGGCCTTTTTGCAATTCGGCGTTAATCATGGAGGACGCCCATGAGATCGTCGCAACGATAACGGAAAGTAACGCAAGCGAGAAAGATACGTCGGACTTCTCGCCTTAAGCGGAATCGTCGAATCGATCTTGCTCTTTCTCAAGGAAACGGCCGTAATAACAACGGCCGTTACTGCCCACCTTGCACACAAGTTCCGCGTCCCAAGGTAGAATGGAGACGAGGTCTATCACCTCGCAGGATACGCCGAGTTTCTCCTGGACTAAGTCGGCTACCTCCAGCAGTACGTGCACCTGAGTGCCCCAGCCAACGAGTGTCACGGCATCACCTATGCGACAAAGAACCAAAGTTGTATTCGTGTGTACATACGCGAGTACGTACGGACGTTGTAATCACGGATGAAAGCGTGCATTTCTTCTCGCCTGTATCCTGTTTCAGGACCGGTCATGTCGAGCGAGATCACCGACGATATAATGGAAGGACGCGATCGCACTTGGTAAATTATATTCGCTTCTCGCGTTCGAAAGTGCGAATAGTTACCTTCTATGACTTCAAATAACACTTTCCGAGGTGTTATTTTTTGTTCGACGGTGCACATTTCACGGTGAATAATGTAAAGAGCGATGTCGTACTTTACGCTCTAAACATTTCTCCGAAGAATGATTTTACACAACCGCAAATATTTATTCGTAGTGTATAATCATTTCCGCGTAGTCTGAAGATGCAAGAACTTCTAGTAATACTTATTAATTATACGTTGCGTCAAAGGCAAGAACTCGCAGATAAAAGTATTTTAATCAATAACATTAAAATTTGATTGATAAAATACTGTTAATTATCACCATTAGTATCGAAAGATAGAAAGAGGAAAAAATATTATTTATAAAATTATATAAATAGCAAAAATTAAAAATTGTACTAACACTAGAGAGCAAAAGCGGTATATATTAATTATAAAAGATCCTATTTTAAAATAAAAATATGTTTAAAATATTTCTCCGACGTTCCTTTATTTTATATAATTTTTGTTTCAAAAACTTACATCATGTATTTATAAAACTACATGTATTCGAAAAATATCTTAGATTATCGATATAATATTGAAACAATATAGTATCAAATAGTGTCAAATATTGAACTCGTAACTGAAACATATATGAGTCCCTGGTAATTTTTACTGGGACTTTTCCTAATTTTTAAACAGTAACAATTTGAAATAATTTTATGTTTTACAATTTTATTTTTTACAGTTTTGATCTTAAAAAATTTAAAAATATGGAGCTAATAACAAAAACTGTAGCTGATCCCAAGAATGCATACCTATGTTCCTTTAGTGTTAAAAAATATTCTTGATATGGATTAAATAGACATTTCAGAACTCACCGCTTCTTACAATTTCAGCCTTGCCGATTGCAATCTTGTAAGGTGCAACGGGTACTTCATCGACCGCTATGCGATACAGAATTTTAGGCTCGAATATGATACAGGGATCCGGCTCGTCGATGCAGCTCAACAAGAGACCCTTTGCGTGCATCGCTCCGCGAGGGACGACGATCTAAAATCAAAAAGAAGGATGAGCTCATTAAGTAGTATATAATGATGTATTTGAGTGAGGCGAGAACACGAGAATCGAGTCCCTTGCGATCCTCCCGATAATCATCGACTCCTTAGCACATGTCTCAAAACAAGCGTGAAATCAATCGACTCTGAGTAGATGATATTACGTCGCATCGCTCCTTTAGTAATCGCGATGTACGATAGTGGCGGCTAGGTGCATTAGTGTGCGAGTAAAACTTTCTTCATGCATACGTAGGTCGTGTATGCTGTAGAATATTCATGGAATTTGTTGAGGAAAGTTGTAAACTCACAGTTTTACGGCTGGCGCGAGACATAGCAAGGGTTATACTCGAAGAATGTTCCTGATGATGGAAATTTGATAGCAAAACTCGTCTCGTCACCAAATCACACGATCAAGAAAATGAGCCAATTTTTGGAAATAAAATCCAACGTCTCAATCGTCAGTTACGCGTCGAGTTCGTATCCAGGCAAATCATAAAAGTTATATGATATTAGAAAAACGCCATCATGATTTTGTCGTTAAAAATGACAAATAAAATCATCATGATATTCTTCAGATCATTATGATTTCTGTGTTCTACTTAGGTAGTAGTACAGATCTTGTTGTTCAACATTATAGCAACGATCGACTTGTCAGGCATTTCGTACAAACAGTGAGGCGTGGCCTTTTACGATCTTATTATGAAATCGTCTATCTCGATAAGGAACTTGTCTTCTCGCTCGACTATTAACAGAGAAATATCTTAGTCTTAAGACACAGTTGAGAGGAAACAAGCGGTTCTCGTGTTACGCCCAATGAATAAAACAAAAAACGCATTTCTACTAGCCTTCAAACCGGGAGTGTGTGCAAAGTAGGCTTCCGGGCTTTGAGAGTGATAAAGACCACCATGGCCGACGGCTCCGCAAGGTGCACGAATCGTGAGCTTGCCGCAGTCGAACATACTGCCGCTTCGATACCTCATTTTTGCCGCTTCGTTTACCAACTGTAAAAGAAACGTACGCACAGTTAATAGTCGAAGATCCTTGCACTCTATTTAATAATTTACATTACACATTCCGCGTTATTTTATACGATTCACTCGCAAAATAGTTGAAAAAACTTTTCAAGCTATAAGAAAAAAGTTTTCGCGCTCTCTGCATTTTTCAAGCAAATAGATTTCTTTGTTATACTTTTGTTTGCACCTTCTTATTATTTAAATAGCTAAATTTTCTTAAAACTATGGATTTCTTTCACCCTAGACATATTACAAAATAATAATTATTCTTTCATCTGTTATATTAATACTATATGTGCTGTGAATAATGCGACACCTGATCAAAAGCGGGAAATATATAATCGGCAAATTGTATTTCGGCAATCGCTGATATTCCCGCATTGGCTAAACCGATTCCGAAACCGGCGATTCCTTGCTCGCAGAGAGGCGTGTTGAAGACACGATCGGCACCGAAACGGTTCTTCAAGTCCATCGTGCAACGAAAGACACCTCCGAATGCCACATCCTCGCCAAACACAACTGAAATTTTAAAAGGAACTATAAACAACTAAGCAATGTTTTCTATTATTTCCGAAAAATGTAATTATTTCTATTTTAAAAATTTTAACAAAAAAAAAAGAGATTCAACTTTTCTTAGAAAAATTAAATTCTATTAATTTTTATAGACGATTAAATAATTTTCTCAACAGCTTAATATTTTTTAATTTTTCGAAAGTATTGAAAAATTGAGAATATTATTAAATATATATTTGAATAGAGGAAATGTTTTAATGTATTATATTCGCGTACAGCTACATATTCGAATTAAAAAAGAGCACAAATATGGTATAATAAAATCCTTACCTGAACGTGGGTTGTTTTCCAATGCAATGTTAAGTCCATGATTTATAGCTTGATACATATTCAGCTTTTGAGTCTCACCTAAAAGCACAACTTTTATGTAATCACATGAATAATGCATAATCAGAGTCGTGCAAAAGATTTTCAGAGCCTTGCCTTATGTACAGCACACTTTATCCTAAAGATGTTCCTGCAAACGTTTTCAGAACATTCGGACATTCTCAAGATGTTCTTCAGAACATCCCTTGAATATCTGTGCATGGGTGGTGCAAGGGTAAGGATGAGTGCTTTTATCTGTTCATGAATTTAATGTATGTATAGTTAGCAACACTAAAAGATTGCAACACATTTTTTTCAATGAGTTTCGGAAACTGCTCGAGCGATTGGTTATTATTTATGGATCCATAAGTAAGAACCAATCGCTCGGTGAATAGGCTGCGTTTCGAAACCTATTTAAAAAAGTATTGTAACCTTTTAGTTGTTGACTGTACACATACACCCTTCATAAATAAGTAATTATTTTCTAAGAACGAATATATATATATATATATATATTCGT